AATTGATATGTCAGTACTTGTTTGTGAAGTGTTTGTGCAGTGCAGCCATGTCTCTCTGCGTTTGCGTGTGTGTAGCCGTTGAGTCCGTCTGTAAAAAAAGACCGAGCTTTCGTTCTCCATGCCCCTGGCCCTCAAGTGACTTCCTCGGACGAATTTGAGCTTTGGTCCTGCGTGAGCGGCTGCGCAGTATTACAGTTTTCAAGCTGAGCCAGTCATGACCTCAATACAAAGAGATGCGCAATGCCCTTCGACTTTTACAATCTTTCAGTCGGTAAGCCTTCACAGCCTGGGCATAAGGGCGTCACTCCTGCAGGTGTTGACAATTTTTTCGGACAACCAGGAGTACATGCGCTCCCTGGCACGGACTCTCGGCCGCCCGGTTGCAGTAGCTTCTGACTGACGTGTGCAGATTGCCTCTTTCGAGACACATCGCTCAGACCATAGGTCCTGCTTGCCCAGACATGCTACATGTTGGTCGTTGGGTCGTTGAAGACCTGTTGAAGCGGCCGTCAAGGTTCTGTGCCCCGCACTGCTAGCAACACGTCATGTCAATTGAGCTTGGTCTCTGAGCTCAAAGCGTTGGCAGGCGACGATGTGTCGCAGTGCAGACAGCTCCTTAGGACAGACCTTCTGTGACACGGACTAATTTCATTCATGCCTCAATATGCCACATGAGGCTTAAAGTTTAAAGGGCTAAAGGATTGGGGAACCAACGGCTTCCACTTTGTGGATCTGGAAACCGCCGGCCAGGGCTGCTGTGACACCATGAATGTTTCGAGAAAAGGTGTTGCCGTCCTGTGGCTCGCTGTTGGGTCATAAGTCATAAGCCTAACGAGCTTCTGTCAAGGCAATCCGTGCCCCGACTCTGCACTCGGCTTCCGAGGCCTCCTACGTCGGGGCCGCGGCGGTCGCATTTTCGAGGCCTCGAGTGACGTGGACGCCTCACACCTGGAGGATGCCGCAGCTCGCCGAGCAGTAAGCGCAAAAAGCGACAGTGTTACTCGTAACAGCTTTCTTCAAGAGTCTCATTGTCGCTTTGGGGTATCGGTTGGGGTTTGCTTGATGGGAGGTGTACCTCTGGACACTGCAGCAGAATCACACATCGACCCGCTCGAACCGCTGCCTAAACTCGACGAAAGGCTTGAGCCTGTCCCTCAAGCCCTCAACTCAAAGGCCTGCTCGCCCAAACCAGCCGTGCAATTCCCAACCAGATCCCCGCCAGAACCCTATCAAACAACCGGTCTCGGTCGCCGCCAGCTTCTGCCTCTAAGGAGGAGATGTGTGGCTTGTTGATCTGCAACTGGGCTCGCAGAGAAAGACTTTTAAAGCCCTGTCAGCTTTGCACCACCGCCGAGGCCGTGGATGTCCCGGCGAAGCCGAGGGCCATGCGGCGAAGGCTGGAGCAGGAAAGTGCTTAAGCTAACTTTTTCAGAGGCGAGTGTGAGCCTGACGTACGGCCGTGCGGCCAGCCACTGGAAGAAGGTGTCTTCCCAGTTCGACCGTTTCTTTCAGCATGGCCAGCACACCGCCCCCTGGTATGGAGATCCTGGTCAAGCGCGCTAAATGCGACTTTGCTCTGGCTCTGCCTGTCCCAGGATCGATTCTACATCTCTGTAGTCAAGGTCCAGGACCCGGAGATCTGCTACGGGCTGAAGCGGCGACTTAAGTTAAGGCCATGTACTCAATTTTTGGGGCCCCGATGGGCCTCCTATTCTTGTTGCCGCTCTCGATTTGCCCCTTCGATCAGCTGGACCCTGCTGGGATCTTTGACTCACGCGTGTTTGTCTATGCCGGAGAGGTCACCAGCCAAGATGACCAGCTTTGAGAGTGGCCTGCAGCAGAAGCTCCTGTCTTCGTTGCAAAGAGCTGGGCATCGTGGACAAAATGCACGGGAGACTGTCCATGCTTGCTCTTGCTCGAAAGGTGACAGTGACAGAGGTTGATGGATTCTTGCTCGGATTGCTATATGGCTTGCTGTTATGAGGCTGGGCAAGAGGCGCGAGAAGCAGAAGCAGGAGATGATGGAGGTCGGATGCGTCTTCACAAACCCATCACGACCGGTCATGTCGGAGATAAGCTGAAGTCTTGAGCTACTCCTCAGAACTTATCGTTCTTTCGAGCCTTAATTTGGCTGCCCTCTCACCTTCGGTTCTTCAGAGGACGTCGAAGTGCAGGGCAGCAGCTGTATCTGTGAAATCTCCGAAGCCCAGAGTCAGATAATGACAAGGCCAGTCTTGTTTTTGGGAACGTTCTCGAAGCTAAATGCAAACACGCAGATTCAGCTTCAGGCAACTATGGCTGCCTTCCGACGAAAGAGTTTGCAGGAAGAAAGAAGGCGCCAGATGGGTTCCGAACCAAAAGCGCTTGTTGCACGAGCTGGGGTTGGGATTTATCTGCCTGCCTCGACCTCTATAGAAACTACTCAAGACCCTGCAGTGCTGTCGACGATGTGCCAGGTAGGTGACAAAAAAAGCTGGGTCCCGCTCGTAGACTTTCTTGTCCATCGCCGGCGAAAACGTGTGTGTGCGTGCGTGTGTGTGTGTGTGTGTGTGTGTGTGTACGTGTGTGTGTGTACGTGTGTGTGTGTGTGTGTGTGTGTGTGAGTGTGTGTGCCTACTGTGCGAACCTCCACATTGTGCATGCGACAGCAATTGCAGCCTTGTTACGTAAATACTCAGAATTTGCCTGCGAAGTTTTGCAGGAACAGCCTCGCTGGCACAAGCTTGTCTGCAGCGGCTGCGATGTCGCCGATGTCCAAGAAGCCCGGGTACCCAAGGAGAACAGACAGTTGATGAGTTTCGAGTGATTTGAAACTTCCAAGAAAAGCTCTGTAAGCCCCACAAGCGTTTGTTTGGCCGTATTTGGTTCGAAGAGGACAAAGCTGATCCACTGTAGGTGCTTGGAGCGAGCGGTGCATCTGTTGCAGCAGCAGCTTTAGTTGTTATGACAATAGTGCGACTGTTGGAGACACATCAGGTGGTCGCACGATATTGATGCGAATAGGTCCGCTGTGCATCTGGCAAAGCAGGTGACACGGCTCCACGAAAGCATGAGCTGCATGAGTTTCACCACAGGTGCATGCATGTCGATGCTGAAGCTTGTCACGGTTTGCTGACCTTCGAGGTGACATGTGAGGTACAGGGCTTTGTGTCGTGTACGTACGCCGAGCAGAGACGACAGCTCTCAAGTTAATGCGAGACTCAGCAACTCCCAAGGAGACTGCTGGGTCACCTGGCCAACATGGGCCAACAGTCTCACATTGCTTCGCCCGCTAGGTTGCGAAAGAGCGGCTATATGTGGACACGCCGCAGGTGGTATCCAGCAGCAGTCTGGAAGTGACAGTGCAGCCACAATACTATGTCTTCCGCTTTGCCCTAGCAAGATCTCGCCACACATCTGGGAGAACGGAAGGTCCATCTCATACATTCCATCCTGTAACTTGCCTGTGGTGTCCGAGGCCATTTCTGCACGGATTTGCTCTAAGAACAGACAGAGCGGACCGAGGAAGCTAATTGCGCAGGAGCCCCTCCTCGGATCCCGACGGACCGATAGCAAACAGACGTGAATGGTCAGGAGATGTTAAAAGCTCTCATTCAAAAGCCAAACCTTTGCGAGCATTGAGCTAGCCAGCCGCCGTTGGGTCGGTGGATGGCCGCAGCACTGCAGGACAGGAGTTGCATGAAGTTCGTTTTGCATCTGAAGCAAGCGCTCCGAGTAGGCGTAGGTGCTGAGCATGCCATTCACGCCAAGTGCGACGTTTACAGTTCATCGTGACCGTTTGGGCGAAATCTTGTGTCCTTGCTAGTTTGCTCCACGCCATCCTTGGCAATCACCAAGCGAGAGTCGCCCCCAGCAGCGAAACCAGTAAGCCTGTATAATGTCTTTTGGACCACGTACATGGCACATGAAGAGGCATGGTCTTCACCTGGGTTTCGTCAGGACCTAGCTTTTGCAGTTGCCCGCCCCAGACTTATTCAGGCAACTTGGGTGCATGACAGAATGTTCCGTGTCAGCCTGACTGAGGAGGTAGATGTCCAATCAAAGTGCGCCGGCTCGCAGTCGAGGTATAAATCACGAATAATCACGAGACAGGAACATATGGAGCATTGCTGGCTGCTGAGCGGTAGTTTAGGCATCGGAGTGAACAGGTCGTGCCCGGCCCCATTGTGGGAAATCGCTTCCTCGACACAGGCGGGTAAGCCTCGAGATGCCTTATTTAAGGATGCTTTCACTTGTGCTGACATGACGGCGACAAGTTTCACGGGGTGCATACGCCCCAAACACTCATCGAAACCTGAATGGCTTCAAAGAGCGGAATAGGTGATTTAGTCGTGGCCTAGCGCATGGCAGCCCCTTGCCCTTATCCAAGACTTGCAGTTAAGTTAGTCATAATTGGTCGTTTGTTGCTGTGGCGTGGCGTAGTCTCAGACATATTAATGGCTCTGACGCCAAAGCCTGGAAAATATTTGGCAGGCATCGTGTCGAAGTCCCGTTGTGACCTCGCGAGGCAGCGGCCCACTTGGTTGGAGCTTGAGTGACAAGCGGGTCACCTGCTCTACTTCTTTTGGGTTCGGAGTTCGGACTGCTCTAAGGCTTACGAAGGTACGCGGCCCGTCGGCTGAGATTGCACCTTCACCATTCCTCAACATCGTCCGCCTCACCCTCGGCCAAACCAAAGCCCTGAAACTGTCCAGCGCAGAACACGGAAGGTATACAGTACGTATAAGAGAGCTTGATTCAGCTTGATCAATCTAACCGTAGTGGAAAAATCTTCCAGGCCGCAGCACTGGGCCGCCGTCTGCCTCCTCGCACGTGCCTTTCTCCGCAGGCCAGCCCTTGAAGCCATGATTTGGTGCTTTTCAATGCTTATTCCGACTTTGTTTTTAGGCTGCGAGTGTTTTCTCGGCTTGTTCATGTTTACAGGGTGTTTAGGTTCGATCTTGTTTGTAATTCAGCCGGCCAATAGGAGTTTGAAGCCTGGGGCATGGGTGGTTTGGGGGATGCCTTCTAGTCGAATCTCTTGTTACTACAAAGCCTTCTTTATTGCCCCGCCATCACCCTGACATATGAAGCTGCGGCACGCGTGGATTGAGGCCATCTCGACAACGGACCACGGTGAGAATGTCATCGACAGGAGTGCAACGGGGCAACGAGCGGCGCCGTAAGTTTGTGCTATTTCCAGACTTCAACCACCCAGACCTTGACATCCGTGCCCTTGACCCGATGAAGAGGATCCGCAAAACAGAACTCTACTACTGCTACTACTACGACGAC